TTTGGGAATTCAGCGTGACAATTAAAGGCTTTAAGCACCTGCCAACCCCACGGCCACTATCACCTACAGTGATAGGTGAAACCTAACCGTCCAAATATCATAACTGAAGAATTGTGAGCTACATGATAAATGTCAAAGAGTAAAGTACCGTTACAGTTGTAGATAATAACAGAATATGAAATTAATTTTGAAACGTCACGCGTTGTGTCGATACAGCGTTCCCTTAAGTTGAAATCTTTTTTTTTGTTTCTTTTTCGGAAAAAACACGCAAGAGGAGGGATAAATAATGATTGCCCCAGGGGAAAATATACAGCTATTACGCCATTTAAATCCATTAGCCATAGCTGAGATTCAAAGTATGAATGTAGAGGAAACAACTGCATATTTGCGGCCATGCATGATATTGAACCTTTCAAGTCAATCGTTTAAAACACATAAATAACACATGCCATAAAAATTTTGAGCGAAATAGCAGAATCGAGTCAACTTTTTCTAGTTTGGAAATATACTCGAGGGGAATTTCAGATCACGCGTTGACTTGATTGGCATGTTAAATTTCACGACAAGTAATTATTCTACTATAAGTTCTTGTTTTCAAAGATTGGAAAAACGCTTCTGGTCTCATTTATATTTTTTTAAACATGAATCGTGTCCGTTTAGGCCTTTTTATTACGCTCTCCATGTTGCATTTGGTGCTGTTATTTATAACGGTTAATTCCACAGAAAGGTAACAGTAAGCTCCAGGTGGACCCGAGAAAATAATGTAATACTCAATCAATGTGATGATCATTCTATGTCGTACACGTATACAAGTTTATAACCCGCGACGCTAAAACGATTTTTAAATTTGTTTACGTTTACATAAAACCTAATCAAATGTAATAAAACAATTATTTGCACAATTATTTTAACACTATCACAGTTTAAAGAACTGACACTCATCCCGTTAGATAATTCTTCGAAACGCAAAGAGATGCAAATTATTTGAAAATTAGAGACAATGTTCTTCATGTAAAGTGGCGGATAGGTGCATGTAAATACATATATAACTGCATGAGAAAGAGATGCATATTATTTGACAATAAGAGACAATGATCTTCATGTAAAGGGGAAGGAGAGTGCATGTAAATACATATATAACTGCATGAGAAAGAGATCCATATTCTTTGACAATAAGAGACAATGATCTTCATGTAAAGCGGAAGGAAGGTGCATGTAAATACATATATAACTGCATGAGAAAGAGATGCATATTATTTGACAATAAGAGACAATGATCTTCATGTAAAGTGGAAGGAAAGTGCATGTAAATACATATAGAACTGCACGAGAAAGAGATGCATATTATTTGACAATAAGAGACAATGATCTTCATGTAAAGTGGAAGGAAAGTGCATGTAAATACATACATAACTGCATGAGAAAGAGATGCATATTATTTGACAATAAGAGACAATGATCTTCATGTAAAGTGGAAGGAAAGTGCATGTAAATACATATAGAACTGCATGAGAAAGAGATGCATATTATTTGACAATAAGAGACAATGTTCTTCATGTAAAGTGGAAGGAAAGTGCATGTAAATACATTTAGAACTGCATGAGAAAGAGATGCATATTATTTGACAATAAGAGACAATGTTCTTCATGTAAAGTGGAAGGAAAGTGCATGTAAATACATATAGAACTGCATGAGAAAGAGATGCATATTATTTGACAATAAGAGACAATGATCTTCATGTAAAGTGGAGGATAAGTGCATGTAAATTCATATTTTACATACATATTGATAGAGGTTATCACGCGAGTGTGTTTTGGAGATGGTAAATATGTCTGTATTATGAGTAAACATTGTATTTAGTGAGCCTTCTTCATTAAAAATGAATTATAACTAGAAAAAAACCATGTATGTATTAATTGACATACGACCACTTGAAAACACCTGTTTCAGGAAAAGGATTACATCAAGACAAAATTTAACACCGTAAGGTACTATAAGCATATACTTTATTCAAACACGGCCAGTTTTTGTTGTGTTATAGCAACCATGAAGCAAACCAAAGGTGACGAGTTTCATGTTGATAAGACTTTCACTCATTCCGTCTCTATATATCTTTCTATTACATAATGAGATATAGGCCTTGTTGACATAATAATTTGTAGCAGGATCACTCGGGGTGCATGGGGTTTAATTGGTTTTATAACGAGGGGCGCATGAAACCCCATGTGCCCCGAGTGATCCTGCTACAAGGAATTTATCTTACCGACATGTTTTTTATATGACCTTGTAAAATAATTCAAATAAATTCCAAATTGATAGAAAACAGCTGCTCGATTCAGCTTGCGCTATGCCACATGACATCCATTGGAGGTATGATAAAGTATTTTATCCAGATCACGTAGACCAATCAGATCTCATCATTCTGACGTGGAGGTATGATAAAGTATTTTATCCAGATCACGTGGGCCAATCAGATGTCATCATTCTGACGTGGAGGTATGCTAAAGTACTATATGCTGCTGTACATGTTCAAGTGACTGAGTTGGTGACGTGAGTAAGTGACTGAGTTGGGTTTAGCACCACATGAAACCACAAGCCTGGGTATGGTACTGACAAACCTAGAAACATATAAGGGGCGAACCGGGATTCGAACTCACGATCATCTTACTGGCGTCACGAAGGGACGGAACTGTCCTCAGTTGGCCACTCGTGCCCGCTCAACAAGTGAAACATGCCGTACGAGCAGTTGATGTTGAAGAATAGGATGAGTGAGGGGGTGGGTTAGTAGGTGTGCTGGTATATATAAACTTTGCTTTCAGCTATTTTTCAGCCACACAATGTGCTTCACACATTGGACGTATTTGGGAATCAAACCCGGGTCTAAGGTGTACCGAGCCCAACTTTTAACAACAAGGCTACCCCATCGACAATTGATATTAAGAAATAGTCAATACATATTGATAAAAATTCATGTTTACTAACATGCCTACAATTCCTAGGGTGGTCCCGGAGAGCGGAAGGTCCGGGATTCAATCCATGGCCGCCTCATACCAAAAGACGTTAAAAGATGGTACTTGTTGTTACCCTGTCTGGCGCTCGGAGTCAGTATACTGTGTCTAAGTGGGGTATTCATGTTCAACTGCAGCATGGTATCTCAGCGTGCTAGCACTATAAATCGGCATTAGTCCGAACTAGTACAAGCAGCCACACACACATGCACACGTGCATCCACGTTGCTATATAAGTGCAATAATCTTGGACGCGACGTTAAACCCCATTTCACCTCACCTTCCCTAGGGCGGTCATTTGGCTAAAACTAGAAGGATGTTGATATAGGATTATAACACCTGCTCGATAGTACCGCTATTGCATAACATTAAGGATTACAATGCAAGGGTCTTTCTTGCATTCCTGAATTAAACAATGTAAAAGTCGAGATCACCGGTGAATAGTCGCTATGGAGGTTATCGCATTATGATACAAGTCTGTTTGTCACATGGTGGCACGCTGTTCTGCGTACAGCGCACAGGTAACAAATCGGGTGAAGATAGGCACCGATGGTCGCAGGGAGTAGTTTGATGGGCACTCGCGTTCGGCAGCTTGGCAGATTCTAGGACTTCGGTTCTTTTCTACACCGAAGCGCATAGTCACCGGGTCGTAAAACCTCCGTCACCATTCGGCAAAGTCCGGTGTGTGTCTGTAGGTGCATTGTTAGAACATTGGTGACCCGCATTTTATTCTCTAGCAGTTTCATTGCATACTTTTATCATGTATTGATTTGATATATGTTCATGTATTGAAAATATTTTTGTAAAATTGATTTTCACGCAGTAGCGGGATTATCTAGGATTGGTGGATATTTCTCGAATATTTTTGATCATTTTTGCCACCTCAATACAAATCCGTGCAAATCTGGTTGAACATCTTTAGGTTACCGCTAGATAGCTTATGTTCAGCGCTTTATCTTCGTACTAAAATCTTCCGTACAGGTTTAGTAGTTAGTTTGCTCTTCAGGTTTTCCCATGATGGGCAAATAGGAAAGATTGTCCCCTACGACGTCCGCGCACACGGGTTAAAACCCTTAGCAAAATCATGTGTCTTTACCCCCAGGTATGGCTAGGCCGTTTACGGGTCGTCTTGCTACTGGTTTGGTCAGGTCGAAACTTAGGTTTCGTTAGTAACTGGTACAGGCACTGACTTACTCTGGTGGTATTGAGCCAGAACTTATTAGCTACGCTTTTATATTTCGTACCCCGTGTAATCCATGGATAACCAACTTTGCCGTGATTGCCTAGTTTAGGTCAAAAACCTATTTACGAGTAGGAGTCCAGGTACTCTTTTTGTCAAGTACCTTTTTTAATGATTGGATACCCGTGAAGATCCGGGGTAGAATAGGTCTTCAGCAACAAATGCTTGTCGTAAAAGGCGACTATGCTTGCCGCAAAGGGCAACTAACGGGATCGAGTGGTCAGGCTCGCTGACTTGGTTGATGCATGTCATCGAACCCAATTGCCTTGATCGATGCTCACGATATCAAGATACCAGATTGTCTGGTCCAGACTCGATCATTTACAGCCCGGCGTCACGGCAAATTGTGCCCGTTAACGGAATCGAACCCGGGTCTGCGGTGTGACGTGCCAACGCTTTAACAACTAGACTACCCCACCGCTGCCTGACTTATTAAGTAATGAACTACCGAGAACAATGATCGTACATCCAACAATTAACCAGAACGCAATAAACAGCAAAAGATACGCATTGTGGGTTATATCATAACATTTATTTGTGGTTGGTCGCAAAATATATGTCAAAATAAATGTTGAACTTTGCATTTTGTTCTCAGGAACGCAGTGATCACCGGGAACGGAAACATTGTAACTCTCTATGTCTAAGCTACATAGAACAGGATGGCATGCATTACAAGTACATGGTACCCGTTGGTAATATAAAACACTCTGCAAAACGAAACAAGTCCAAACAAATTGTAATGAAAGTTTTAAAAAAAAACACTGCTCAATATTTTATAGGGATATGTATATTGTTCCACGATACACAGAACTGATTCTCATGATATATCATGTGTATATTTTAATATATCTGACAAAACTGATTATACTTTTTAGAAGTTGAGTTGTATAGAACTGGTTATGTTAGGCCACAACAAATGAATATTTGTTATCGGAATTACCTGTACCTTTTCCTTTTTTTTTAAAGTGGTAAAAGGCTCGGTTGAAAAAGGATCCATATTTGTCATCCGAAGAAGGTTAACCTTGCTACATCTCTAATCTATTCCGATAAAAGTTTTTAGGCCTATTCTCTATTTCAGCTTCGTTGTGTATCGCATTTTGAATGGCACGACGCTAAAATGACCTTTCAATCAAATTACTCTCATGTACAACGTGGGACGTTACTGAGTAGAGATACCGATCCGAACACGTCACTTCCCAAACGGTAAATATAACAGCAATTTGGTGAAGGGTACTTTAATACTATAATGGAGATCAAATACCCTGGACAACAGAGGATGATGACTTGTAAAAGTTAGTCTGGGATAAGAAGAACCGAATACGTCAACCTGAAATTGTTGTGAGGATATTGTCGTTTCAAACCAAAACACATATATACAATAAGATCGCCCCTAGCTCATAACGTTTTGCCTTGTAATGAAACAGTGAAACTTGACCTAAACGATAGTAACATTCTCGCCTGGCAGCTTTTGTTGGTAAACCTCAACAGAACACAGGGGACTATGGGTCCGAGGCTTCCTTATATGGCGCCCATATGGAGAACACGGGCAGGGGTGGCCCAGTCGTGTAAAGCGCTCCAAATCGATGTGCAGAGTTGCGTCCCTTGGGCACGCCAGAAACCTGTCCTCGCGAGTTCTGTTGTGTTTCTAGGTTTGTCAGCACCATACCTGTTCTCATAGGGTTTCAGACAAATTGGTAACCGTCTGAGATCTGTATCATTTCGGGATTTTCTCCCACATCAAGCTGACACACCGTGATAAAACTGAAATACTGTTCAAAGCGGCGTTAAACTGTTCAAAGAGACTCACTCATATAGGGAACTCGAGGTGTGGTCGACGGCAAGTCGGCACCTTTATCCCCTTGGTTTGCAATAACAGTGAAACCTCGCTAGTCCGGAACTCTGCTATTCCGAACGATAACCACTGGGAACAAAGCTTACAAGGCAATACTCAAACCATTATTGGTTAATCTTGGTCATATGTTGATCAGTTTCACTGGAATTGACACAGTCCAGATCTAATTGCCATCTAGCGATTCAGTTACAATGCGATACTCTGCCGATAACAGAGTCATTGATACACCAGCTCCACCTTTAATAACGTCCTTTCATATAAATGTTCGTAGTTTTGCTTAAATAGGCCCAACATCTATACCGTGGCAGTCCCACAAGTAATATGCATTCTTCTGACGGTTGCGCGTTCGATAATAACTCACACAGGAGTAGCCTCCCCTTATCTGAACGTCTTTAATGGGTTTTGGACTCTTTGTCGATAGTTGAATTAAACAACTGTGGTTATGATAACGCAGAGGGAGCTTATATTGAACGACATCGTAACCTTCTGCAATGGTTGGGGTAGAATCGGTTATTTCAGTCCATTTGTTCTGATAAACTCGAATGTAAATGTCGGATTGTAGACTGGATGCATTGATATGCACGGAGTCTCCCCAAGTCGGGATTTCAAGGCCAAAAACCGGCATTGTCGTATTTGACACGGTGACGTTGAACAAGGTGTTGTTGTGGCGCAAGTGATGCACATGATCCTCGATGTCACAAGGTTCGATTCCGACTCTGGTAAATGCGCGCGCAAACGGTTCTCCCGGTTGACCCAAGTCGTAAGCAGAAAGCATGACGTCACACGCACCTGTTCGAAAGTTCGTCATCGGGTGCCAGTACATCCGGTTTGCGTGCAGGAACACCCGGTACACATCGGGTGGCGACAATCCATATTCATGCGCGAGGAGGTAGAACACGTGGTTGAAGATTCCACTGGTGTCGTGGGTATTCATGTCGTCCCGGTAGTCACTCACATGAGATAGTGATCTGTTATCAAAGTACCGCATTGAACCGTCAACCTGTATTGCATATCCAACCCTCCAATCAATCGTGTCGGCGTACAGTTCCGCCATTTCGCCAGTTATGTCCGAAAAGGCTTCGTTGATGGCCCCCGCTTCTCCCAAATACATAAGCTGGGAGTTCTGCTCCGTAATTCCGTGAGCTATCTCGTGTCCTATTATGTCCAAAGACGTAAATGGATAGGAAACACCGGGAATTCCGTCTCCAAAGGAACAATTGTGGCCGTTCCAGAAGGCATTGGTAAAGAGATGGGAATAATGGACTCTGAGAATCATTTTTTTTTTCAGGGGCTTGGAATCGAACCATTCCTCAAACATTTTACCAACGATGGTTCCATGGTAGAGTGCGTCGAGGGCGGGGGAGTAGGCGCCATTTATACGGTCGCCATAACGATGGAAGCAGTAAAATTTAGCCGTCTGTGTGAGGTAATCAAGTTCAGTGTTATACATGTCCACCACTTTCACATGTTTATTTTCGAGGAAGCACATGCCGCGTCTTTGTTTCAAATCAAGACAGGTTGGAGAGATACCGTACTTGATTTTACCAATTTTTCGGTTTCCACCAAACACTCGGCCCCTCATGTAGGATCGACAGGTTGCCAAGTTGTCCCATGCTCGTATTATCTCCCCTGTTTTTATGTTAATTATACCCGTGGGTCTTTTCTGTACGTGCCTGTTTTGAATGAGATACTCCAGCATGGCGACGCGGTGAGCGAGTCCGTTGTCGTCCACGTAAAAGTCGCGTCGAAGTTTACGGCTCCCGATATCATTGACACGCTTTTCATCTTTGAAGTGACGGATCAAGATGTCAAAAAGTTCATTTTTCTTCAAAGAAGGTGCTTTCCGATACACATCCTTGTGGATGTCCTGCACGAAATGACCTTGGGCATCTAACGGTGTTTGTCCGTCCGTTGTCAGGGTAACAACAGTATCAAACACATCTTTACCTCGGTATTTTTCGACTAACTTCAATTGCTTGGTTCCCTGGGCGGTGGTTGTCTCTGCTTGAATCTCGAAAGTTTCTCCATCTGAGAGACCAAATATGTCCGCGAGAGATCCCGTTGACCTCTTGTACCGGATGTGACGTGGAACGTTGCCATGGAAACTTGCAAGTCGGTCTCTGGCGTTGACGCGGACGGCTGCTTTCGTGCAGGAAAACAAAACGGCTGTCACTGCAAATCAAGAACAAATTGTCAATTACAATACGTTTGATAGATACAGCAAATACAAAACAACAGAACAGTGGATGTAAGATTTGTGTGTGCTTTTACTTGTCCGGACTAATAGATAACATGGTAACCACATTCAGACACAGTATACTGACTCCGGGCTGACCAGTTATTGTTATGATCCCCTTAATGCCGAGCTACAGGCAGGGTAACAACAAGTCCCATCTATTAACGTCTTTTGATATGACGTGGTTGGGAATCGAACCCCTGGCCTTTCGCTCCACAGGCAGACGCTCTATCAACTAGACCACGGAAAAGGTCAAAACTAGACATGAACAATATGAATAAACCGAAGTCAGTCGTAATTTTGAAAAAGTGCTTATAAACTAAAGCTTAGGCCATTTCATAGGTCATCTATACTATGATAATAACACAGAGAGAGTTAAATGAATGAATCCGAACAAGCTATTTGATACAAGGAAACACAATATACGAGTGACCGCCTCCGTGGTCTAGTGGTAGAGCGTCCGCCCGGAGAACGGAATGTCCGGGGTTCGATCCCCGACCGCGTCATACCAAAAGAGGTTAAAAGATGGAACTTGTTGTTACCCTGTCTGGCGCTCGGCATTAAGGGGCTAAAACAAGGACTGGTCGGCTCGGAGTCAGTATACTGTGTCTGAGTGGGGTCTTCATGTTAAACTGCGGCATGGTATCGCAGTGAGCTAGCACTATAAATCGGCATCAGTCCGGACTAGTACAAGCAGCCACACAAACACACACACGTGCATGCACGTCGCTATATAAGTGCAATAATCTTGGACGCGACGTTAAACCCCATTGCACCTCACCAATATACGAGTGTGTGTGTGTGTGTGTGTGTGTGTGTGTGTGTGTGTGTGTGTGTGTTAGTGAGTGAATGAAATGTTTTCAGCAATAATAAAATCTGCGGACTGCACACATCGTATTCATGTCGGGACATTGACCCTACGGCGTATTTTTCAACACTCTAACCAGTGTTCAGGCCATCAGCCGAGGAAGAAATGAGTCCTGTGTATATTCATTAGAATACTGCATCCTGGTTTCTAGATCTATGGGGTCAAGAGTTCCGCGATACATGTAATAAGCACGATCCTTGAGGAATGATAGAAACCATCTGGGTCCTTAACTACAGCAGCAGAGAAATGAAGAGACGGTTAACATAGTTTAAATTTCTCGAATCGTGCTCTCCGTAGGAACCTTTGGCAAACATCAGCTAGCTCAGCGATTTCCAATGTTAAATGCGACTACCGAGTTGTGGTAATGTGTATCTCAAGGCGAGGGTATTATATTTACATCCAGGGGGGGTGCAGGGGTGCGACCCCATGCCTTCACCCCCACCACCCACCCCTCCACAACACACACACACACATACACAGAGAGAGACAGACAGAAGACTAACTTACACAGACAGACACTCACCCCCCCCCCCCACCCCCCCACCCCCCACCCCCCCCACACACCCCCTGCCCAATCTGTATCCCACAGACCTGAAACATATATCCAATACAGCCCCTGCAAACTAAAATTGTTAGCAAGTATTAATTACTGCAGTTTCTGAATGAAAATGAGAATCACTGGGCTCAGTGGGCTTTTTAGGGGTCAGTCGGGTATCCTTGTGGTTAAAGCCGAACACCCGGGTTCGATTCCCGACATGGATACAATGTGTGAAGCCCATTTCTGGTGTCCCCCGCTGTGAAATTGCTGGAATATTGCTAAAAGCGGTGTAAAACCTCACCCTCGCACTCATTTATTTAAATACTTTATTACGATAATTTCACAACTGTTTTTATTTTCTTTAAAATATTTTCATTTCAGAGACTAGATGTTAGTCTACCATGAGTCACGTAAGTGCAACCGAAGGCGTTGATGCAGCATGTGATCAGTCTGATAACGGATGTATGAGAGTAGATTTGTCTTGACAAGTGGACTGTATCACTTTATGTGTACATTTCAACACTAACTTACGAGGGCCTTGTATATGATTAATCGCCATCATATGACGTGTCCCCTTTCTGCTGGTTGGTTAAACAAATATATATTTCCTACCATGTTAACCTGTCTCTGGATCTAAACTGCCGAACTAAAGAAGGTATACTACCATGTTGGATGGTGGCTAGAAATGAAACAAACAAGAAATGGTTATTCGAGATTGATGTATTTGAAATGGGTATCATAGTTGTGTTTAGCAGCGTTTCGGCGATTGTTTTCGGCTAAGTAACGTTTTGTGTAATTCTTTGGTCAAATCCAGTTTTCAAGTGTATAGTTAGTTTGCCCACAATATATCTATCTCCTCGTTTCTAAGTGTACTATTTACGTAATGCCATCAATCTGTTTATCAATGCACATATCCACAAATTCGAGTGCACCAAGGTACGCACTTTGTCATATAAACTCAGGGATTTCTACTGGGGTAGAAAACTTTTCTAAATAAATACTTTGTTTAGAAATATACCAACAATGAATAGCTTGATGGAGTAGAAGAAAAGTAATAGATTGTTTTGTGGAAAATACCAGCACGTCAAAGTTTTGTGTGTAGATAGTGAAGATGAACAGATACTGAGTAAATAAACAGTTTGTTGGATGCAACTTGAGAAAAAATAGATTGTTCCAAACCCCCCACCCTCTCTCCCCATACTCATAATCGGATGCTCCATTACATACGTGAGTACATTTGCATAAAAGTAAATTAAGAATAGATATTAAGGTTGTGTAAAACATTTTTTGCTATTGAACATGTGCCCTCTTTACAAATATGCCCACATGAGGCAAACGAATACAGTTTTATGATTGCTCAAAATGATCGGAGGATTAATGACAAACGGATACAGAAACATCACTCGTTATACAACAGAGTAAAACGATAGTGATATACCCATATCATCTCGACAAGTTGATTATCCCCGTTTCTTCCAATTAGCGTTGTCTCATGCTAACAACCAAATGTCAAGGACGCACAACCGGAGAGGCAATAGACGATTCACCCAATCTCATTAAAATCAGACCTTAGTTCTCGCTATCGCTAAACAAAGATCTGAGGACATCCCATTAGGGGTTACGCCAGAACAACCTTTCACCCGACCAATCAGTGCGTCGCTTACCAGGTTATGAAAGTGACAGTCGGAATGTGATTTCTAATCATGCAATCTCGAAAACTTTAACATGGGGGATTCCGAACGATAGTTACGGGTTTAACGACTGAATCCTTACAATCTAGACCATTTATAAGCCATTCCAGAATGTTTTTTGTTTAGGTTTCAAATTTGTAATCGAGAATTTGTCAAAATATGTTTCGAAGCGTAGTCGCCAATTTGAAATTTGTGCCGTAAAGCACGAGAAAGCTGCCTTCTGATTGGTCATTCCATTGGTCGGTCAAAGTTAGCGCAAGGTCGGTCTGACGTGACCCGAAATGGGATGTCCTCAGATCTTTGTTTAGCGGTAGCGAGAACTAAGATCTGATTTTAATGAGATTGACGATTCACCGTCCCCCGATATAAAAACATTCCATGTTTATGTTTGTGTTAGAAATGTTCTACTGAAAATAGAATAATATATACATAGAATCCGTTTGATCAGATAATCGAGGCTGGTCATTTTCTGGCGCTGGCGTTATATATTTACGTGAACTGGGTCGATGTTTGTGCTGGCGGACTGGAGTCCCCGAGTTTCATCATAAGCACAGCATCTTTTATCCATTATGCTGTGTCAACTACAAAAGAAATGTTTCGGCAAACACATTAAAACTACCCCCCACTGTGTTGCAAAATAAACATATTTCTTAAACGCTTCTCTTTATTTGCAAGGAGCAGAATCTCGGCACTTGTACACGTCATTCAAAATTAGCGCCTTAAATTTACGATGTTAGTCGTATGGCAAGAGTCCTGCTGTGCGGAGTCAGGCAACAAGTACATTTCTTATTTTCTTATGCAGACTGTGTGAGCGGCGGGTGATACCTGCGGGGCAGGGCATGCTCACCTTGTGCGCGAACACCTGGTGTCATCACTGATTTTCAGTAATCCATTCATATCACTGTCACGACTATTTTGCCTTTCACCCTAATGGAATCTGATTTGGCAGAAAATCGAGACTGGTTAATCTCTAAATTTGACGTTTTATATATGCACAATCATCATAAGCATCATCCGAACGCGTAGATGTACCATTATATATATATGTGTATACTTACATACATTCGAATTTACAAATACGGGTGCGTGTTTTGCATTTGAGTGAGTGAGTATAATTTTACGCCGCTTTTAGCAATATTCCAGCAATATCACAGCGGGAGACACCAGAAATGGGCTTCACACATTGTACCCATGTCGGGAATCGAACCCGAGTCTTCGGCGTGACGAGCGAACGCTTTAACCACTAGGCTACCCGACCGCCCCGTTTTGCATTTGAATGTCATCCTTGATTGAATGCACATGTATATCCATTAACTATCTAATTGTATCCATCCATGTATTCTCTGTAATGTCATCCATCCATCCATCCATCCATCCATCCATCCGTCCCTCCGTCCATCATCCATACGTCCATCCATCCGTACGTCCATCCATTCATCCATCCATTTACTAGTATCTATATGTAATATACTATCTATGGTCCACCCATCCATATATCTATACACGTATATTTTCTTTGTAATATACTTTCTGTCACTGAATCAATCGATGCGTATTTATCTGAAACGTTATCTGCGTTATCTGAAACCAAGTGTCGAAAACCGTTGATCTTGCGTTACAATCCGGACCACCCTCCCCTAGACTAACATATAGTCCCTGAAATGAACATATCGTACAGAAAAAAACAGTTGCTCAGTTATCTTAATAAAAATATAACAAAAAGGGAGCCCAGTGATTCTCTTCATTTTCTAATCTAGACTTGCCAAACATTATAGACTTGCATGGGCTGTAGTTGATATATTTGTATCAGGGTCTGTCAGACAGACTACACCCTCCCCG